CTTTGTTGCTCTTCTCTGTACTCTTTCTAGAGTCTCAACATCTTTTTTACATCGTGGTGACCAAAACTGGATGCAGTATTCCAAGTGTGGCCTTACCAAGGCCTTGTAAAGTGGTATTAACACTTCACGTGATCTTGATTCTATCCCTCTGTTAATGCAGCCCAGCACTGTGTTGGCTTTTTTGGCAGCTGCAGCACACAGCTGGCTCACATTTAAGTGATTGTCCACTAGGACTCCGAGGTCCCTCTCGCAGTTACTACTAATGAGCAAGGTATCCCCTATGGCCTATACTATACCTGTACATTTGGTTTTTCTTGCCTAAATGTAGAACCTTACTTTACAAAGCAGCCAGATGCAACTCTGTACACAGGTGGTCCTCGACTTACAACAGTTTGTTTAGTGACCGTTCAAAGTTACAAGGACACTGAAAAAAGTGACTGACGCCCGTTTTTCACACTTACGACCGTCACAGCATCCCCATGTTCCCTGATCAAAATTCAGATCCTCAGCAACTGACTCATATTTATGACGGTTGCAATGCCCCGGGGTCACATGATCCCCTTTTGCAACCTTCTGACAAGCAAAGTCAAAGGGGGAAGCCAGGTTCACTTAACAACCATGTTCCTGACTTAACATCTCTAGTGATTCACTTAACAACGGTGGCAAGAAGGGTCATAAAATGGGGGAAAACTCAACTTAAATATGTCTCACTTAGCAACAGAAATTTTGGGCTCAGTTGTGGTCGTAAGTTGAGGACTACCTTTATTGCCTTTTTAAAATGTTTTTCAACTTTTGTTTTCGTTTTTAAGAATCCCATTACTCTAGTCAACCCTCAATTTTTGTGGTCATAAAATGAGGACTACCGGCATTTCAGGCTAAAATCATGCTTAAATTCCCGTGAGCCATACCCACTCATGACTTCCAAATGGAGCTGTCCCGAGACTGTGAGGAATGCTGGAATACCGAAGAAATTGTGTTCTTCTCCGGGTTTTCTCTCTTCATTTGCAGGCTGCAGGAATTAAATAGTCGAAAAATTAATTAATACATTCGGAAACTGGGTTAATCTCTCCCCAAAGGCAGCCAAACATCGGCCCTCTGAGTGTTTTGAAAACGTGTGACTTGCAAAGGAATGTATTGAAATAAAAATAAATAAATTTAGCAGTGTATCCTAGTGACGAGCGTGCAAAAATCACAACAGCTCTGCAGAAAGATCCGTAGAGTAAGCCTTGCAGGAAAAAAATAGCCCTGGAGCGTACAAATTTCACAAATCAATGAATCATTTGGAATAATCAAGCATGATTTCCCCCCAAATCATTCTTTGATTACAAAATACAAACAATACATTGTAGAATACAGATCAAAACTAAGTAGTACAGCGGTGTCTGTACAATAGAAACTATAAGCTGCTTTCTGGCAAGCAAAATAGGAAACATTTTGGTCTAGTGGCTAAATCACCAGCTAAAAGCCAGGAGATGGTGAGTTGTAGTCGCACCTTAGGAACGGAAGCAACTGGGTGACTTTGGGCCAATCACCAGGAGACAGTGAGTTCTAGTCCCGCCTTAGGCATGAAAGCCTTAGGCAATAAAGTTGGAAGGGACCTTGGAGGTCATCTAGTCCAACACCCTGCTCAGGCAGGAAACTCTATACCATTTCGGACAAATGGCTATCCAGTCTCTTCTTAAAAACTTCCAGTGTTGGAGCATTCACCGCTTCTGGAGGCAGGTTGTTCCACTGGTTAATTGTTCTCACTGTCAGGAAGTTTCTCCTTATTTCCAGGTTGCTTCTCTCCTTGATTAGTTTCCATCCATTGCTTCTTGTCCTGCCTTCAGGCGCTTTGGAGAATAGCTTGACTCCCTCTTCTTTGTGGCAACCCCTGAGATACTGAAAGACTGCTATCATGTCCCCCCTCGTCCTTCTCTTCATTAAACCAGACATATCCAATTCCAGCAACCGTTCCTTGTATGTTTTAGCCTCCAGTCCCCTAATCATCTTTGTTGCTCTTCTCTGTAGTCTTTCTAGAGTCTGAACATCTTTTTTACATCGTGGTGACCAAAACTGGATGCCGTATCCCAAGTGTGGCCTTACCAAGGCATTGTAAAGTGGTATTAATACTTCACATGATTTTGATTCTATCCCTCTGTTAATGCAGCCTAGCACTGTGTTGGCTTTTTTGGCAGCTGTAGCAAACGGCTGGCTCATATTTAAGTGATTGTCCACTAGGACTCCGAGGTCCCTCTCATAGTTGCTACTATTGAGCAAGGTACACCTATACTATACTTGTGCATTTGGTTTTTCTTGCCTAAGTGTAGAACCTTACTTTTTTCACCATTGAATTTCATTTTGTTAGATAGCGCCCAGTGTTCAAGTCTGTCCAGATCCTCCTATATCTTAAGCCTGTCTTCTGGAGTGTTGGCTATTCCTGCCAGCTTGGTGTCATCTGCAAATTTGATGAGTTCCCCATCTATCCCCTCGTCCAAATCGTTGATGAAGATGTTGAAGAGCACTGGGCCCAGAACAGAACCCTGGGGCACCCCACTACACACTTCCCTCCATGGAGATGTGGTTCCATTGGGAACCACACGCTGAGTATGGCTGATCAGCCAGCTAAACCAACACCTTGCTTAGTGCCAGGGATTCTAGTCTCCATTATGGTCGTAAATCGAGGACTATCCCTAGGCTGAAAAAGTCCGAAGCACCTCAACCAATTCTTTTTCCTTCCCCCCCCCCCAAGCAGCTGAACTTGTTAGGCCAGCAAACGGTGCCAAACTGAAGCAAAGATAATTGCTTGTTTATACAAAGGGTTGGAAGTGACGGGGTCACAAGGAAGAGGCTGCCAAATGGAACTGTCCAAAAAGGGCTTTTTTTTTTTTTTAGAAATAAAATGCTCTTTTAAAAAAAGAAGAAGCAGAAGCAGTTTCTATCCAACCCTTAGGACATTTGGCATGGCTGGGGAGAGAGAGGGAGAGGAGGAATCTGGTTCATTTTTGCTCCGGGAGCAATTAAATTAAACCTGCTAAGCATGTTCACCTTTTCCTAAATTAAGTTCATCTGTTAAAAATCGAGCGCTGGCGAGAAAAAAAACCAAACCCGAGTTTTACCCTGCCAGTATTTTATTGCCCTTGTTTTCCTACTGCCCCTTAAACCAAGCCATCATCTACGCAACAGACGAACAAACAGCAAGAAGACTCTTCTATACGTGCAGAGACATGAAACGGTAAACAAGAATCCCCAAATTTGGCATCCGAATGAAGGAGAACCAAACGGGCAGCGTGCAAGATGTAAAGCCAGCTAAATTACCAGTTTCGATTTGGTTACGGGGC